CAGAAGCAGTTTTCAATTTAAAGCCAAGAGAATTCATCAATGTGCTCCACACAAAAAATCTTTGTGTTTTCACATGCCACCATGATTACATTATGTTCACATATGATGTACCATGGCGGCAGAGCTGACGTCTGACTGTATTATTTAACAGTGGTATGAAATATAAGTCAGTATATAACCATATTAGACAGGGCTCAAACATTCCAGGAGCAGAGAGGGAGGGGTCAACCTAACAAGAAGGAGTCTGGTATTCGGGAGGACGAGGACATGTGGATTCAAGGGACACCGCCTCCTTTCATGTTCAGAACATCTTTGAACCTCAAAAGCCTCGGGACATACTCACTTGCTGGGAATAGCCACAGAAGAACTGGTACAAAAACTGAGGTAAGATGAAGCAAAGGTTCTGCAGGGAAAACAGAAAGAAAACAGGCTCACAATGACGGGAGGAAAAAACATCAAAAGACATCAAATAGATTCCTAAGTAACCACATGATTATAATGTAGGTACATAAATTTTAAAAATGTTATCCTCAGTTCAACCTAAAAATCTGTTTAACTTTAGTTTCTGTCAAATCTGTGTCTCTTCATCACATAATCCTGAAATCAAGTGAGTTGGTGGGTTTGTTTGGGAGATGCAGGCTTTGCACAAAAAGCTAGTTCATAGCCTGAGGAATGATAAAAAGTTAATGTGACTGAAGCAAATGTTCCTCCTACCTTGTAAAAGAAATACTGCACCAGGTGTGCAATGCGAACATAGTAGAGATGCCCATGAGCCAACAAAAGTTTCTTGAGGTGCATGAGTTTGGGTATGGCATAATCGCTGTTCCTCACTGCCTGCCGGCCCTCTTTACCTTTAATGCCTGAAACACCAAGAGTAATCACACATCACACTTTCCTTCATTGAAATTAATGTGAGATATATTAATCAGAATCAGCCTCAGCATGGGATTTCTTACCAATGCCAACATGAGCTTCCAAGATCATGCTGACATCGTTGGCACCATCTCCAATGGAAAGAGTGATTGGACTGCCTTTTGAGTTCTTCACCATTTTAACTATCTATATATGGAGCAAGAAATGAGGGCAACATTAAAAAAAATCAGCCAACTGTTCACTGTAAAAAATAATCTTTTCAATTATTTAAGGAATAAATATTTTCCACATTTTAACAGATTCTTCTGACCTGTGCCTTTTGTAGAGGAGCCATGCGACAGCAGAGAACAGCTGTGCAGTTTTGACAGATCTGCAGGAACAGGTTCTTGAAGAGTTTTGAGTTGGACTCAGTGTTGGAGTTGAGCACCATTGACAGAGTAGCTCCATCTATGATAAAACCATAGTCTTGGTTTGATGAAGACCGGCTCCTTTAACACCGTGAAGAGAAACAGGTTTCAAGTTTTTATCATCGGGAAGATTTAGTACAATTGTGTTAAGAGCATGTCAGCAAATCTAGAAACCAACCTGGTGACACCTGCTTTAGCTGGTAGGGCATCCTGCACAGTTTTTTTATGATATTCAATTAAGAGGTCATGCAGTCGTTGCTCGCGCCTCCTCCCTCCATCGTCCAGAGTGCGCACTGTTAGTTCCAGCAGCTCTGTATTTCTCTGGAACAATCTACAAGCATAACAAGTGGACTTTGCTGTCTCCATCTTGTCCCCCGTTAGGACCCAAACCTTAATACCTGCCCCCTGGAGGGCCTCCATAGTCTCTGCAGCCTCCTCTTGAAGCCTGGGGGAGAAGAGCAATAGAAAGAAGTGAGACACTTGAAAGGTTATTACAAGAACTCTAAGAAACAAAGCCTGAGCAAGGCTGTTGATTTTCTAGAAAATAATGGTACTTAAACGAGGTTGAGCCTGTCTCAAACAAGAGTCTGAGGGAGTTGTGGGAAATATATTGAAGGGGGTATATTTCTAAATATAAAATAATTTAACTTTGATGTAGATATAAAAGTGTATCAGCTTAAGTGTGATGATGATGTTGACTGAGGTAATGAAGTGTTTCATCACTTTTTTGGTAGCATTTTTTATTTCAATGGTGCTTGTGAAACAAAATCTGCTGCCTATTTTTTAACATTGGATTGTGGAAGAGAGCCTGATGGACCACAGAAGAAATGAAGTGTCTTTTGACTGTCACCACAAATTACAAATTAGCAATGTCATAATGGACAAAACACTACCGGGAAGCTGGTAAAAGCATGTAATGCAAAACAACTACAACTGTTGAGGTTACACTAACAGAAGGTAATTTTTACAACACGCCACAGACACAAATCTTTCCTAAGAATAGTATGAACAGGAAGTTTATAATAAGTTTATTTCTGTCTTTTGCAAACCTTTGGTCTATTCTGAGATGTCTTTGTGGATTTTACCACCTACGAATCTTAGTACTGATCTTTAATTAGATGGAGGGGAGAGGAAGGACAACAGCAGCATACAGCATAACAAACATCAGCAGATTCATATGTGTGAGATGTATTGTACTGTGCCTTGTATGAACACCCACCGATCCTCTACAGCAGTGGCTCCTATCAGACTCATCCCAGTCTCCACTTGGTTGTAAATAGCCATGAGCCTCTCTTCTCTGTCCTGCAGAGCCAGTCTAGCTTCCTTCAGTCCTTTATCTGCCTGGTTGTACTCCTCTGCACTGAGACATTTGTAGGCAACACACAGTGTCCGGTAGCCCTCCTAAACAGTTAAAAACATGTTAACAAAACAAAAAAACAAGCACAACAAAATCTGTCCCAAATCACTGTAATCATAAATTAAACCCCATCTGACCCTTGAATAAAAAAGTACATACTTTTAAACTTAAATCTGGAGTCACCCACCTTTGCATTACGCTCCACATGCGTGCTGATCTTTTCAACCTCTTCCTGTCTGACGCGGGGGAAGATGGAGGAGTCCGCTCCCTTACAGAAGAGGAATGTATCACCTAGAGACAAAACAAACACAAACATACCGACATACAATGTGGTGAGGCATGAGGGCCTTTAATCATAACACTCCCTACAATAAAGCAGACAGTCATCTCAAGCTCACCTGATTTGGATCTGACTATGACACTCATACGCCTTCTGACTGGGTCAAAGTTCAACACATGAAGTAGTTCATACCTTTGGGAAGTACACAAATAAAATTAGTTATAGTGCATAAATAAATGGAAACATATGGCTAGAAAATGTTGCCAATATAATTTTAGACTTACATTTCAACATCGTTGTTCCTGTTGAGAATTTTCATGTTTTTACTTTCAAGACCAAGAAATGTGAAGCCGTACCTGCAGGTGGAGACAAATCATCAAAAATCTAAAATAACTTCTGTTACATGAGTTATTGTAGCTAAGAAATCTATCTACAGCTTTAGAAAATGCATTTGTGATATTCATATTCTGTTATGTCATCATTTTTACTCACTTAGTCATAATAGCCCATCTCTTACCTCATGGCGCCCTTGACCAGAGCAACCTCATCAGGTGAGGAGGCTATTAGGCCTCTCTGCTCATGTGGTGGATGAAGCCCCTCTCCATCTACCCCTAAGCCATCCACCTGGTCTGTCAGTCCATCGGCTTGGCCTTGACTCTGCTCTGTTGACTCCTTCACCTGGACTGTGTGGCACAGGCACAGGGCACGCAGAAACAGCTCTTCCCTCTCCTGATAACACAACATGATCATGGCTTAATACAGTAAAAATACATTTAAAAAATCACA